TCCAAGAACAGATCTCATCGTTGAACGTAGGCAATGTAAATACACAGGTTGAAAACCCTATTTAAACAAAAAAGCCAACATTCATGGTCTAATTAAATCGACTTCCTACTTACATTATTCCATACAACATCAGCAAAATAATCGATATTTTCTCCAACCTCTACATATTCTCCTGAATATTTCGTATATAACCATACCGACACTAGAACAAAGCATAGCCAGAACACAAACATGAATATAAAAGCAACGCGTCCCAGCCAAAAGGCATCGAGTAGACCAGCAATCATATAACACAAGATCATTGACAATATAAATGTTGTAGGTGTACGACTGAATGCAAATACATTCTTCGAATCGTTGTGTTTCTTGAAATTAACTAAAAACCCAGCAAAAATTCCTCGATTCCATTCTATCCAACTGTTATTTACCATAAAGTTCGAAGATTTCGTTGTCTAATTCTTGCTGGTAATTTTGCGACATCTGTTCACCGCCCATTTTTCGCGCACAACGAAATTTGTCAAATGACTGTCGACGGACTTCTTGATGTAAAACATCTAGTTGGTTAGGATGTATGTATGGTCGATCACCTCCACAATGCTGAAGAAAATCAACGAAAATAGTTTCAGATGTTTCTCTCATGCTATTTCTATTTACTTGTTCCATTGCACGAATATAAAATTCTTTAGAAACGGCTTTCGCGGCTAAGTTATTTGCTTCTGCTGTTGCCTGAAATTATAAACAAATACTTTCGTCATTATTTACTCAGTCGAACGTGATGAAATGCAGCCTATTTATATGTGAGATATGTACGTACTTCAAGCATTGCTTTGGGCGATGGTAATTCACCTGAAGCGAACACTGCACAGTAACTCTGTAATGAAGAAATTGAGGATGTCTTCGATGTTCGGTTCATGCTTCATCTTACTCGAAAGTATTCGAATAACTGGGTGGATGTGATGAATTCTCCATTGATTTCTTTAACGAAATTGACATTGTCCGATCGGAAGAGTTCAGGTACGAAGGCGTTTAGTTGTGCTTTGAAATCTTTTTCGATATCTAAAGAATGCGAAGCAAAATTGAGAAGGACATTTTGGATTGTGTACACATCGAACCTCCTAGTCTTCCATCGAAATCTCGCCGATTGGTGACTTTAAGACCAGGATGTGGCATTAGAAAGCAATTTACTTTACGAAAACATTGTCGTAATCGAGAACGTACAAGTTCCAGATCGCGATGTTGATTTGCTCGAATCTAGTTTTCGAAATACAATCAATTACGTTCAGTTCGTTATTTACCTGTAAACGATCAGATAGAATATCTTCTCCACCCTCGAAACCATACGGTGTTTCATATTCAAATTGCCAATCACGTACAAGAAACGTTAATTGCTACAAAAATAAAACATACTTATCATTTAATTTTTTGCTCATCATACCTGAAACGGTGATGTATGATACGCATCAAGTGCTAAAACTCCATATTCAGCGAAAAATGATAAATGTTGCAAATTATCTTCTTGTAAATTATGCATTATGTTATACACAGTGACACTACTAACAAGTAATGTCAATGCAAATATGAAAGCATTCTCAAATACAGTTGAGTTTGAATCAAACGTTCCCTGAGTATCCATAAGCAGAACGGCAATCTATGAAGAAAATGTTATCGAATGGTAAATATCACTATTCAAATCAATCTTACTTCTTCACCATTTGGTAATGACATTAGAAACGGTTCGCTCCACATAAGCATGCCTGTTGTATGACGACCAGCACCGCCACGCCAGTCGAATCCTTTCAATGGTTCGTTTTCTTTTCCCATCCATTCCTTATGATCCTAAAAGTACAAATCATCTTGATTGATATTGTCCGTCTTTGATTCGTATACTCACTTTTGCTCTTAAATAACGAAGGAAAAAATCAAGCATGAACGATTTCCCTTTACGAAAATCGCCGGCAATTGACACGAGTGAGATCTAGTACGTTGGTAAAAGATAAATAAGAAAAGGATTGCATAGAATAGACAAATCTAAATTACTTTCTTTCCTTGGGCTCGTTTATGATATAAAATTTCTTTTAATTTCTTTTCATCGAGCACAAATTTATGATCATCAGTGATCGATACAATTTGTACAGGGCCTGCTGTTGATGATCGTTCCATAAGAGGAAAAAATTTATCTTAAACCTACAATGAATAAGTGATAAACAGAAGAGCGGAGGTTGTGATGAAGAGGCGAATATTTAGCGTTAGCGTCGTATTATTAGGATAGGAAGGAAGGAAAAAATGGAACCAGAGAATCTATTACGTCGCCATTGCAGAAATTTCGACGAACACAATGTGAGATATAGCGAAAGAGAGGGCGCTGGAGAGCAGTGCCAAGAAAAAAAGACGAGCATATCTCATGAGAGATCAACTGTTACCGCTGGATTTATTTATCAGACCGTTTATGCAGTATATGACACCATTTCTACATAAACTTTTCTTTTTCATGATACTGTGTATGTATTTTATTAAAACATCTCTGTTTGACAAGAATCACTAGAATACTATCAAAGGCCAATTTTTAGTAAGACTTCTGTATTGATTTTTATTAGGAAGGTAATTTAAATGATCATTCAACAGAAAGTTTTCATTGAATTCCAAAGTAGGTTTTCAATCTGTAGTATTTGAGATGGCTGTTCCGCTCACTGGACATCTGTGGTCCAAAAGAAGCCAATAATACTCTTGACAGGCTCATTTCGTGACGAAATATCCAATTATAACCGTTTTGTCACCATAAGAAAGGTTTGCCCATAGTAACAGAACTGTATTGTATTTACAGAACAGACATTACTTATTGAAAAGTAAACGTTCGTTTGGACAAAAAAAAAACAAAGAAAGAATTGACATGACTCAAACAAAGGATAAACTAGGCAAGTTAATCGTATTGAAAGATCTATTTAGACATGTTATTTGGAACATTTAGCGAGAACAATTCACGATATCATTCGCGAGAACAATGTAAAAGATCTCGAATTGATTGTCGGTCGTGGTGCAAGTGTGAATGACGTAGATATACAAAACGATGATAAATTCACACCATTACATTGGGCTGCTCATGCAGGAAGTCTAGAAGTTTGTAAATTTCTTTCTATGTTCTAATTAATAATGTGAAGTTTCTGAAAAGTGCATGCATTGGCTTCTATGGCAATCAGCAAATATGGATGCACCGACGCCGAAAGGTTGGACACCTGCTCATATTGCTGCTATTCGAGGACACGATGCATGTGTACAAGTAAGACATGTTCGATTGAAATCCAATTTCTTAATCGAGAGTTTCTCTAGGCATTAATTAATAATAATGTGAATATAAATACACGTGATCGTCGCAATCAAACTTGTTTACATATGGCTTGTTCACATGGAAACTCTTTTGTTGTTCATACTCTACTACGTGGAGGAGCAGTAAGTTTTCTTTAACTTAAATTTAGCACTTCGAACATCTACTGCGAAATCAAGGATTTGAATTATCAAGATGTCAATGGATGGACACCTGTTTTCACTGCTGCATATCATGGAAGACTTGGATGTTTACAGATGCTCGTTAAATGGGGTGCTAAGTTAAGCGATGTAGACAACGAAGGGAATACACCTGGTATAAAACATGATTTTCAATTCATTTGATGACATTATATGTCGTGTTATTCTTCTAGCACATCTTGCGGCTATGGAAGGTCATTTGCCGTGCTTGAAATTTATTATTTCAATAACACGAGATATACCTGCTTTACTTGGTGCTCGAAATGATCAAGGTGATACACCCAAATCATTAGCTGAACAATTTTTCAAAGAAAGCTGCTGTAAATATCTGGACGCACTCGAATGGGAACAGGATCATCCTGAACAAGCTGAAAGTAAAAGAAAACTTCGCTTGTTGAAGCCCAAAACAAACATTTTGGTAATGATTGCTTTTTAGATTTAGCTTTTCCGGCTCACGTTGCTGCATACAACGGAGATTTGGAACATGTAAAGTTATTGATTGAACAAGGCGTTGTCAATATAAACGAGCGCGATGAACATGGTGCAACATTAGCACATAAAGCAGCAGGTCAAGGTCATTTAGAAATTCTTCAATGGTTGATTGAGAATGGTGCAACGATTGATTTAACATCTGAGAGCGGTGAAACACCTAAAGACGTAGCACGACGTTACGGTCAACTCGCTTGTTTGAAGATCTTGGGTGGAGGAGCTGAAAAAGGTGATGGAACTCAACATGGTCATGCAAATGATTCGAAACGATCAAGTGAACATAAGAGATTAACACCGAAAGAAGAAGAACGTCGTCGTGCTAAAACCAAACTTGATGATTTAATCAAACAAATCGATATTGCGAAGAAGAATTTCCGACAACTAGGTGGACATCTGGATGAAGATGAACAACGTGAAGCATTGGAAAAAGAAACACACAAGTATGAACAATCAGATTTCGTATTCACCGATCAGATGCAAATCTTTCGTCTATTGTAGGAAATTTCATGACTATGATAGACAATTAGAATATGTTCGAGTCGAAAGAGAAAAGCTTCAAGCCGAGTTAGATGAATGTCGAAAGGAAATTATTCATTTAACTAATATCTTACGTTCATACGAAGATAGAACTGTGTATGTTCAAGTAAGTTTGACAAAATTAATTCGCTGGAAATAGACGGTTGCTGTTGATTGTTTGTTTTAGCAAAGACCACCTAGTAGAACACGTTCGCATAAAACGAAGAAAACATCGTCGGTCGTGAATAAACCGAGACGCGTTGAAAAACAAACAGGAGTTGTATTTGTACGCAGAAATTCATTGAATTCGTGATACTTTTTGTATCGAAAAACAAATATCATCAATTTCTTTTTTCTTAATAAATATGCAAACATGTCGCAGTGTTTTTAGTAGATTCACTTCATCAAAACGATCAGAAAATGAACATCAATCTAGCGTGTCATTATTAGATTAGTGACAAAATTCTCATTCGAATTCAATCTTTGCCTTTCTTATGTTCATTTAGTATTGTTCGAAGATTCGGAAATTGTTCATTAACAAACATTCGTCTATCGTTCATCAGAAGTCGATTGATATCGTTCGTGTTCACATTCGATTGTCCAATATGGTGTAAAACAGTTTTGATTTGCTCATTATTGAAATGATTATAGAACGAAAGTAGATGAATGACACGCGATAAACTATTCGATTCGATGTCGTTCAAATATGTATGGAATTGTGCTTTTATCGCTTGGAATTGTTCGTTATGAGCATTGGCGGTTGTTGTATATTCATCTGAAAGTGTTGGAACATCTTCGTAGTCATCGCTATTTGATGGAACATCAGGAAAAGACAAGCTTTGAAAGGTATTGAATAGATGAGGAGATGTTTTTTCGAATGGTATGGATTGATGAGGAGATGGCATGGGACTCGTATGCGAATGTTCTATTGGAAGAAAACTTTGTAACGTTTGTGTGAGAACAGATATCCATCGAACTTTTAGACGAAGAATTCTCTTTACTTGCTGGTTGGATTTTAGTTTTTCTATATGCTTGTCTATGGTGAATGTGATTGCAGGGGATACTAGTTATTGTTGTATATGTTGTTTCATTCACCGATTGATTCATTGTAAATAGTAATAAATTTTTCAAAGAAATGGCAGGGAGACTGTCAAGGCGCTCAAGAATTAGTTGTCATCATGACTGGCAATGTTGCATGCGAGAAAATGGCTTCCTCAGTACGACAGAAAAGAAAAAAAATCTAACCTACCATAATGATGACGATGCAATCTGTTCGTGGTATATATATACGTGTGTGTGAGAGAAGAATTTTAGTTATTTTTTAAGGTTTATCTTCGTATTTTGCACTATAGAAAAAGTCCAAAATGACAAGTAATCCAAAGCATTTGAAAGCAGGTAGGTCGCTATGAATTCTTAAATGTTTATTAAAGAAAATACATATATCTAGATTCGGAATGTCCACCCTTACAAGAAAATCAGTTACGATTATATTCAATGCGCTTTTGTCCATTCGTGCGGCGAGCTAAACTTGTTCTGGCCGCCAAAAATGTTGAGTAAGAATTCGTTGTGCTAAAATTTCTTTGATTTCTGATCGTGAAATTGATTTTAGTTTTGAAGAAGTACGTATTGATCTTGGAGACCAACCTGATTGGTATTTGAAAAAGAATCCAGCTGGTGAAGTTCCATTGTTAGAATGGATCGATAAGGATTCAAAAGAAACACGTTCAATTCCCGAATCATTGATCATTTGTGATTACCTGGACGAATTATATCCGCAAAATCGTCTTCATCCAACTGATCCGTATCTTAAAGCACAACACCAAGTGCTCACTAGTCGTTTTAGCAATGTTCGTATAGATGTTCAATTGCTCATTCTCATGACATGACTCCTTGATTTTGATTAGGTATATTCAGAATTCTACAAAGTATTCGGAGAATCCAATGCCAAGAATATCGAAGAATTGAATCAGAGCCTCTCTGTTTATGAACAAGTACTTCAGAACAAATTCTTTGGTGGAACAAAACCCGCAATGATAGATTATATGATTTGGCCATGGTTCGAACTGATGTCCAATTTGACTGGTTATGTCTTTAACGCCGATGGAAAATTACCGAAATTAGCAGCTTGGATCAAAGCCATGGATGCAGATGAAGCCGTTCGAAAGTATCGAGTACCTGATGAAATCATCAAGAAGTTTATTGCTAGTCGACGAGCAGGCAAACCAGACTTCAACGTTGAATAGATTGTTTTAAGACATTCAATTTTGAGAGATTTTCATTTACAATAAAATGTATACTAAACACGAATTATTGAAAATAATTAATGTATGTATTCATGCGCATAGTGTTTATTCTAAGAAATAATATGCGCAAACATCCGAGACATTTATCTGAACTGTGAAAAGTATTCATATGAAAATACAATCATTTCATGTTAGTTTTTGATACAAAAAACCGTGCTATTCACAGATTGAAGATTAGTCATTGATGTTTCTTCACCCATTGTTCAAATGCTTCTCTACATAAAAGAAATAGATGCGTCCATAGATGAAAATTATCTCCTACTTGCAAACAATTGACAGACATTGTGAACTACAATACTCTCCATCCCATTCCGGATGATCAATCGATGGATTTTCACATCCGACACGTTTACATTTCGTTCTCAAAGATGTTGTGGTATCAGGTACGTTTGACAATGACTACAGAGGATCAAATAGGGAAAAATAACATGAAATTTATCTAACGATATGATCATGAACAGATCATTACCGATGACGATGACGAATGTGCATCTGGCTTATTTGTATCTGCTGAATACTCAACCGAAGCCATAAATATCTGAAATAGAATGACATTTCTGTCTAGAATTCCAAATTAATAATTTATTGAATAGTTTTGTTCTATAATAAACACAGAGCGAGAGAAAAACGAAGAATGTACGGTGCGCCACTGTGTGGTTAGACTTGTTATTTAGTTCCAACGAAAATGATTTTCATTACAAATCGTGATCATTGACGAATGTTCATCATTTTTCCGTTCATGTAGATTGGGATGACCATGATTCGTGTAATCATAGTGTTTTTCAATTTGCCCATTAGCCATCGAAGTTAAATCTACGTATTGTGATGTGTTATTATTTAAATTATGTAAAAGATTTTCATTAGTTTTGATGTGTTCATTGTCCATCGATGTTTGATGAGAATAATATGATGAATAATGCTCAGAATCGATGACTGGCCGAAGTAAACCGTATTGATGGTAATCAGGATAGTTGTTATTCGAATCATAGGCTGAGTAAGATTGATGTGCATGATTAGGAAAATAATTCTGATGATCTGAATGGTAAACATTGGTATTATCTTGAGAATATGGATTTACATAGTGAAAATTTGTATTAAATGATGAACTTTGATGTTGGATAGATGATACTGATGATGATGATGGCGTCGAACAATATTGTTGGAAAGTAGGTTGTTGTTGCTGATGTTGATTGTTGTTACTCATCATAGATGCTGTATGGTATGGTTTTTGATGATGTGAAATTGCATGTGAAGAGAATGGTAAAGATGTTTGATTGAGGAAATGAGGTAGGTTTGGTGTCTAAAGTTGAAACATGATTCGAAATGTTTTATGGACGAACAAAATGGTTCGTACTTGATGGGCAACTTGAACTGCACGATATGCAGCTAGTTGTTTTAAATATTCTTTTTTTGCTGTTGCCGCTCTACGTTTATATTCCTATAAAGAAGATTTGGTTAATGAAAGTTTTTGTTTATAGTACATACTTCTTTGATTTCTGGCTCAATATTTTCCCACATGTGTGCGACAACTTTCGAAATTTCTCTGAAAAAGAATGAACAATTGCTCGAGCTCGTTTTCAAATCAGACTTCAATTATTACCCAAATGATGGATTAGCTAATCTCTTTTTAATATCATTCTGCGCATCACGAAAGAACAGTGCATATGGTGATACTGGTCTAATAACGATCAAAAAGCATATTAGAGATTAGATAAGTTTCAAAATTACTTTTGAGGCTCATTTGGATCTTTGCGTTTCTTCTTTGTTGGTTTCTTCTTTTTTGTTATCTTACTCCCAGTCGTATTATTCTAAAAGACACAAAAAAAGACGAGTCTTTTCGTGTGAATCTGAATCTTTTCTCTCGAGTACATACTACACGGTTGATTGTGCTTGACGGTATTGGCGATGCTTCATCAACATCACTCGTTGACGATTGTTGAGGAGAAATAGATTGATTCTCCTGTCGATATGAATGATGTGATTGAAGAGAATTCTGATGATAATGAGTCAATTGACCATAGACTTCTAAAGATATACGCTTGGATAACTCAAAACTCATCCAATTCAACTTACCCGTATTATTTCCATAGATATGTTGCATTTTGAATCAATGAACTTGCTTTCAATCTTACACGAGTGACAACTATCGAGTCGAATGTCTTTTCTGATGAACAATCTAGATATGTCAAACGAAGAGAAAAAATACAATCAAAAAAAGAACTGTATGTTCTCTCCGGCTTTTTTTTCATCAGTATGATTGCTCACAAAATAGAATAAGAATCATTGACCACCTGTTTTCTTCTCCTGATTCTTACTCTCAATTACAGCTAATTTCATCATTTAAAAGACTTTTATATTCGTCGAAGGGAAAGACACCGCCCCTCAAATAAAACTGAACAATTATCGCGACAGGGAGTCCATGTGCTAGCGGCATACGATCAATCAGACATACACAAAACATCGTAAAGACAAACCTCCCTTACGTAAAAGAAAAGTAAAATGAAAGAATCTTAACTTATTAGTAAAAGATATGTGTACACGATGAGGACAAAAAAGACGAAGAAAAGGGTCATCAGTTTTTATTCGCGGCTATGCCTGAGTGAACATTTCGTGAATGAGCAGATCGAAAAACAAAAATATGCATATGACACGAAAAAGAAAAGCAAAATATCAATGTTATTATTGTTAAATAATCAATTAAATGATTTCATAAGACCTTACGTAAACAATACTCGACTGTTGTCGTTTTTCTAATCTGTCTCCGTAGAACTGTTGAAATCAATCAAGAAAGTGAATGCTTTGTCATCTATGCCAGTTAATCTTCTCGAACGTTACTCTCTCTCTCTCTCTCTTTCCTTCTCTTTTTCTCTCCTATGGAATACTCACGAGAAAATCAATTCTTTAAACCAATGGAAACATAGGGAAACAAGCGGAAGAAGAAATGATTGGTTGGAACGAGACAAATTCAAAGTCATTTTCTACTTCTACTTTTCATCATATCAATAAACAATCATTTAACAAAGCATTCTTCAACATGATATTCATGAAAAAAAGTACGTTTATATTAATATATTTATAAACACCTGCGACTCATTTTCCTCGCATTTCCAAAGTCATAAACCACAATCTACACTCTTTCCCTCCACTCAAAACTGCCTTATACACTTGTATGAAAATGATTTTCGAAAAAGTCAGCTTATCTTCTTGTCTAAATGTGGAAAAATCTGTTAAATACATGGTGTTTTCTCTTGACATGAGCGGTGATATCTGCATGCCAGATCTTTGCCTATGATTAGAAGTCAATATATACACATCCATGTTCTGACAGACAGAAATTCTTCTAGTTCATTATCAACTGCTCCGCCCAGATTTGTAAGTAATTCACATCTGTACACACATACAATTTCCCTATTCAATTATCGGAAGCAAATCAAGAAAGTGTAAACATACTCATTGCAATGTTAACTAACCGAATCTAATAGCTCGAATGGAATGAAAAGGAAAAAGGAGAAGAAGTTGTCACATTCGAAGAAGAAATCAAATCAATGGATAAATATAATCACATCTTCACATAAAAGATTTCTTTTTCGTTATAAAGCAAATGAAATCAACTGGAATTTATGGAATAAAAGTACATCATCATCTATTCACTTAAAAGAAAATCTATTTACTGATTAGAATTCACACATCTGCAGTTATTCGGTGATTGAATACGAATCAGAAATCAATCTCTTACAAGACAGTACAAATCTGTTCATGTTTCTTTTTGAAATTAACGCGAACAACTATTTCATTTCGGAGATATGTGTAAACTCACCTTTGACCATCGTTGTTCGTCATGTTATTATTTAATTTTCAAAGATTTCTTCTCCAATTCAATCACAATCTAAAAAAAGTACCATTTACACAACAGAAACGATCAGGATGAAACTATGTCTATGCAATATTTTCGATTGCCGAAATTCATCGTTCGCTCTTGCTACTGTGTGTGCATCTGTTTTTGATAGTGATAATTAGACCTGAATTGCAATCATATATATATTCGTTCTTTTTTTATAAAGAGAAAAAAAGACGTTAACACACAAAGACAAGCACAGTGGTCAATGAAGTATGCAACAACAGGAAAAGAAAACGTTGGAAAAGTATTTCATGACCAAAGAAAAAGATACATGAATGAGATAACAAGTTTTCTATCAAGATGTTGATGCTCGGTTGCTGTAAGCAGCATAAGCACGTTGGGCAGCATTGGCTGCCGATGATACCGTAGGAGGTGCAGATATTGTCGCTGATGATTGATGATTACTATTCGTCGATGAAAACTGAAAGAGAAAAAAAATGATTGCAAAATTGAGACGAAGCAGAACAACATCGGTTTTTTGCTTCGAGATAAGGAGACAGTTAGAAACTCGAACTTATTTCTCTTTCCTGGGAACAACAAATTTATCAGTAGTAAAAAACGGAGACAACAGTTGTTTTTCCAGAAAACAGACAAATCAATGCAATTTCGCGCCAATGAGTCAATCAACCGTTGTACTTTTCTGTCTTTAAATTGAGTATAAAAGTCACTTCAGTTGATACCTGACAATTGAATTGATCTGCCGGAGACAAATTATTGATCATTGTTAGACGCATGCATGTGTGACATCTTTGTCTGCAAATGGCACAAGTAAAATGAGGAGGATAGACAATGCCAATTGAGAGCGCAACAAGAGAGATGCAGTTTTTTTTTCAAGAAAAACAAAACAAACGACTTTTTTTGTTCTCGCATCCTTTCTGAAACCGTACATTCAACATTCGAAGAACTCGAGAGTTTTATTCCTTGGAGAGCCTGATTGCTTTTCTTTGAGTCTTCACTAAGAAACTTACAACAATGGCCAATCAATACAAACACCAGTGACATCATCGATCATTGTTTACAGTTTAATGTTTCAGCTGGGAAGTTTTAACTTCGTATGTATATGGTCAAGTTACTCCATGCTAGAAACAAGAAGTAGGACGCGACACTCGACAGAAGAAGAAAAAAAAAACAATAACAACAAATGATGTTTCACTTCAGAGCCCAGATTCTCTTTTCTCCTAACTAATATCAAAATCAGTGAACAGATCCTTTTCTTCATCGAGAATATAAAAAAGGAGAATAATACTTGAAATACTTGAGAGGGGTGCATGGGTGTGGAAGTTCTCTTCATCTGTACTTACCGACATTCCATTGTACGGCGTCGATGGAGTTTGTGACTGAGTCAAAGCTGCTGATGCAGCTAGTGACGCTGCTGTTTGCATTTGAGTATACCTGGAATAAGAAAAGTACCTCTTACATTATCCCATCAATCTCGTCTTTTGTTTGAGGAAAACGGAAGTTCTCATACCATTGTTGATAAGCAGCAATTTGTGATGCATCGTAGCCAGCGCTAACCCTATGAAAAGTAGAAGTGCTAGAGAAAAGGAAGCGAACAATAGAAAGGTGGTGGAATACCATTGCTGCATCCAATTTTGTTGTGCATCCGTAATTGACTTCGTCGGATCATTCAAGGCGTTCATTTGTGAAGGATTTGCTGATTGATTCCAAGCATTCTGAGTTGCAGCACTCAAAGCAGCTGCTTGTAAAATAGTTGCTTGTTGAATGTTAGCTGCTTGCTGCATTACTTGCAATTGCTGTTGTTTCGCTTGTAATTGTTGTTGAAATGTCTGAAAGTTAATTCTGTTTTCATCATTTTCAATCGGTCCAATGTATACATACGATCAAGTACTGTTGTTGTTGAGGTGTAATCGGTGTGCCTGCTTGTTGCGCTTGCATGGCTTGTTGCAATGCAGTTGTATATTGATTATATTGAATATGATATTCACTACTTGCTTTCGCATATATGATCGCTGGATTGGTTTCCAGGTCTGATTGTTGTTGATCTGGCTGCTGCTGTTGCTGTTGTTGTTGTTGTTGTTGTTGTTGAGAATGCTGTTGCTGTGATGGTGGCTGTTGATGTTGTGGTGGGTTTGAGTGTTTCCATTGGTTATAATTCGCTTGTCCATTGTTATTTTCATTCCATTGATTATTATTCATATTATTGTTTGATGACGGCATGTTATTATCCCAAGAACGTTTATAATTGGAATCGTAATTCTTGTTTTGCCAATCGTTGTTATTTGAATTCCAGTTTCTTCCATTTTGATTATCACTACCTGGATTTGACCAACCACCGTTGTATCTTTAAATTTCGACCATAAACGATGGCGAAAACGAGAGGGAGAGAAAAGAAAACTTACCGGTTATTATTATTATTGTTGTTATGATAATTATCGTAATTATTATAATCGTTTTGATTATTTGAATAGTTTCTTTCGTTCGATTCCCATGTCAATCGTTCTAACAATTGGCAACGTTGTTTATAATCTTGAAAATTCTTTATACGTGTATTTACATCTAATTCATTAAGTTGTCCATTAGAATTTAAAAGTGACACCGGTACAGGCCGTAATTGACTAGGATCAAATGAACTTAAATCTATTGTCATTAAATTTGGTGGTAAATCTTCACTGCCATTATTCCCATCATTGCCCCAATCATCACCATTGTAATTACCATCGGACCAATTTTCATCAGGATTGAACACTGGATATTGTGGTACTAAAGAAAATATATCAGTGGAAAGTATCTGTCACTGAGAGTAAGAGAGACTTACTTCCAACATTGGCTACCCATTTGTTAAAACCATTTTTTCGTCCGAGTTGAAGTAGAATAGGATGAACAACAGCTCCGGCTTCATCCAAAATCTGAATCAGGGCAGGTGCATGTCTTGCATCTTCATTCGAGAAGAATGTGAATGCTGTTCCATATTGCGAATTTCGACCGGTACGTCCAATTCGGTGTATATAAACAGCATCCGACGTTGGATAATCATAATTGATGACAAAACGCACATCATCAACATCTGTACATTTTAAAATAAAGAGTTAGTCTTTCTAAAGATTGGAGAAAACTTGAAAGCTATTACCTAGACCTCTTGATGCTACATCTGTGGCTAATAAAAGAGAATTTGCTGTGTCACGAAATTCTTTGAGTACTTCATTCCTCATCTGTTGACTTTTGGAACCATGCAGAAGTAAAGCTTTGTACCCATTCTGTTCCAATTCTTTACTTAACTTATTGACTTTATCACGTGTTCGAACGAAAATGATCGCTTTTCTATCCGGAGCGTACGCACACACTTCATCCAACACTTTTAAAAGATTCTGCTTTTTCTGTTGTTCATTTGGACAAAAGTCGACTATTTGCTGTATATTTAAATTCACAGCATGAGATTCGGACAGACAACCGACTGTTGCATGAACATAATTTGTTAGATAATCTTCTGCTAAAGCTTTGATTGTTTTTGGCCATGTTGCAGAAAACATTGAAATTTGAGCTTGACGACGTACGGGTTGTTTGTCTTCGGAGTCGTCCGACGGCTTGAGCGTTTTAAAATCGGCTAGGATATTTCTAACTTGAGTTTCGAACCCTAAGTCGAGCATTTTATCCGCTTCATCCAACACTATAAAAGTCACGCGATATAATGTCGTGATTTTCGATTCTAAAAAGTCTTGTAATCTGCCCGGTGTGCATATGTAAACTTCTTTTCCATCACCAATTTCGTTGATTTGCTTTTCTCGCTCATCACCACCGATAATACACAAAGATTTGATTCCGAATAAATTAAAATAAGGTTGAGCAACAGTATGAATCTGTTGTACTAATTCTCTAGTTGGTGCTAAAACAATAGCAATAGGACCATCATCTGGCTGTAATGGTGGTTGTTGACGTATATGAAATATGAGTGGAAGAATGAACTGAAATGAGTTGAGAGAAACAAAAAAACGTGAGACATGAAATTTCATCAAGCAGTGTAAACTTACAGCAAGTGTCTTTCCACTTCCCGTGCTGGCGATACCAACGAGATCTCGGCCGTGACTAAGAATCGGCCAAGCGATCGATTGAATCGGCGTTGGCATATCAAATTCGCTTTCTTCAAATTGTTTTAAAACTTCTTCTACAAAATAGTTGAGCATATGCAGATGGGTTCCTCTCTGTGTTGAAATTACCTGGAAAATTTGTATCACTAAATTGTAACCAGGGATGAATGCCAACTGCATTTTCAACTTTGATATGAAATTCTGCACAAAATGATTGCACTTCATCCATATCAGGTACTGTTGGTGTAGATTGTTTTGGTTCCGGATCAGTCTCTACGAGTTCCGTGTTTTCCTGATTCGTATTTTCATTAGATACTTCGGTAGAGTTTTCGTCACTCATGGTGAATCAATTCTCGTTTCAAAGTAATCTATCTAGCCTAGCGCTTTCTTTTTTTTATCGTTATATGTTGTACCATGACAGAATGACAATTGCCTTTTTATTTTTATTGGTGGAAAGAAATGACAAATCGATAGATCGAGTTGTTTCAATGATAGAGGGCAGTAACAGTTTATATGTACGCAGACCATGTCGATGCATCTATTGCTTGAGGATTATATACACAATAGTATTGTGTTCCATAAGAAAATAGCTGATAGTTTGGACAACAGAGCAAAACTGTACGCTTACAGTTTGTTGTATAAGGTACAAGACTAAACCTAAGAGAAAGAATAATACTCCATGCACGATATCAACCGTTTGTCTGTAACTTACTGGTATCGACATTGTGCTACGCCATTAACGATTTGATCGCAACCGGTTAAACTAATCTGATAGTTATATGCGGTGCACGGTTGAGTACCTAAAAGATATAGTCTGATATCGAAAACACTTTCTTCATTCGATACATTACCGTCAGTAGTGCACGGCTGATAACTTAGACATCCACCACATGTTGGTTGAGAAGCCAACTGACAACGACTTGATGTAGAACATCCTGATGAACTTGTTGTAGTTGACGGTAACATGCTGGTAGTAGAACTAGTTGTAGTAGCAATACTAGAAGTCGTAGATGCTACTGATTGAGACACACTCGATGTTGCTTCAGCATCTACAAGAGAGAAATACAAATGAATAGTCTCTTTAGTAATATGGATTGCTTCTTATTACTATACCAAAGAAAATCGTAGCACGAAAACCAGCTTGTGGCGTTCCAGTCGTGGTGTTGATATAATTATTAGAACGAAAGATAAGTATCATTGTAGTTGATTCGGCCGTAATATTTAACCAGGTTGTTGGCACTGCAGTTCCACACCATCTATAGAAATCAATTACGATTACTTTGTAATCTAGTATTTGCCTGATTGACAAAAGACTAACCGAGCGCCAGTTAGAGCAAGATCGCTTTGATATTTCACTTCAAGTACCGATGTTAAACTACACACGTAACGTGCGACAGTTTTGAGAGCGTCTAGTCGAAAACGAATCTTTCCTGCTGTTTGAGACTACGATCAGAAAACGAGCATTATCAACATCACTAAAAAACGACAATACCTTTATCAGATACACACAGGTTTGTAATGATGATGTTGTACTGGTTGGTGTAGGATTCTGGATGGTGACTTGCGTAGCTATGGATGGGTTTGAATTTGTAATTGTGTCTCCACAAGTACTGGCCGTATCTCGTTGGTCACAGTAAGTACCTGAAAGTCCTTCAGGACATACGCAGCGTGAACATGTCTTGGGATCGAGGTAACCGTTATTTTGGCAATTATTATTGGTAAACATTGTTGGACAATCTTTGGAATGCGTCAAAATGAGATTTTTTATTATGAAAATAGATTTTTAAACCTGCTCGATTGAAATAAAGTCGATTCATTTGTTTATAATCATAAAATGCTGCTTTCTCTCGTTGTCCCATCGTTCTTGCATATCGAACATCAAGTGGAACGATTGTTGCTTCACCATTGTTCGTAAATCCATACGCATCGTAATGCATAAACGAACCAAAATCATAGGGAAATGTCGTATCGAGAAATCGTATTGTTCCGTAGTACCATTTGTAAAAGTTAGCAGCATAATCAGTAATGATATTCGCTGAAACGATTGTGACATAGCTATCTCGATCTATTCGTGACTGTGTATGAATATAACCAAGTGTATGGCCGATTTCATGCATAATAGAAGCAATAATCTACGATTAGAAATACTTTCTTCTCAATATTGAAAAAAGTTGTGTCTCTTACAGTGCTACAATATACAGAAATAAGTATGACTGATGTCGGATCAGTGGGATCATAACCAACAGGACTTGAACAACCATAGGTATCATCACGACGAAATGAAATATAAGATTTATTTGTTGTAGTAGTTATAGTTGTCAATTCGTTGAATTTCAAACAGGTATTATTTTCCCAATTCGAGACAGCGGTACGTACTATGACAATGTACTATGAACAGATTTATGGAAGAGTATTCAGTCTTACTATTATCAGCCATCGTTGAAGTTAAGCCAGATGCTGTATTGATATAGTAATTGATCGGTGAAGTCCATTTATTCTGTATTGATCGCGCATCGATTTGAGTACGTTGTTCTGCTCGACTAATGTTTGTGTACGGAACACCGGACAATTCGTAGATCGTTTTCAACGTGCTAAAAACAACCTGATTTTATTGAAAGTAATACTACTTAGTTACTTACGTTGGTTCAAAAATGTCCGGTAGTTGACTTCGACGAACGTACATTGCTTTGCAATCAATTGTGCTTTCACTTGCATTTTCAGGAAAACTAAAAGTTTTTGAAGACCTTTCGGATATAACCGATGGTGCCTAGAAGTTTGCCGATACAATTACATTGTTTCGAGTGAGAAAAAAGCATTGACTAACCAAAACAAGTGCATTCATGATAATTTTTGAATTGTAGACAAGAACGCAATCTTCAATCGTTTGGTTTTCATTACAAATTTTAGCTTTTGTCGCAGTATTCACCGTCAATAGGCCTTTTATTGTAATCTATGATACATCGAATACGTAACGCATTTATTCAAAGAATATCTCTATTTTCGACTGGCATACATTACGTTTTGGATCGATGGCAATCGTAGTGTGTGTGTTGATAACCGATAGTTCCGAATTACGTCTCATTTGAAGGCCAAACATAACAGCGAATACAATAGCTGGTATTAACACGAGAATAAATAGGAAAATAAGTCCATGAAAGCGAGTAAGAGTACGTTTCTTCAAATTCTTATTTTCATCCATTGGTACGCATGAGGTATCTGTATAAATTGAACAAAAATTCTCAAGACAAAGTGAAACAAGAAGATATCATGCATACCGTTCGGCATATCGAAGTCTAAGGGTATATGGATATATGATGGCGTATAAGTAGGAAAGGTGATTGTTGAATTAATGTAAAAAAGATCATGTTTTTTTCACTAGAAACCTTATTAAATAAGTATTAAGTCAGGAATTGCAATACTGTTTGTCAGTTTGTCCGTAATAAAAATTTCATTAAAATGAATATGCACTTTCTTCTGTCATTTGTCTCGAACACTTCGACATGAATCAAGAGATCATTGATGTTGCGAATACTCAGAGTAGACTTGAAGAAATCGTGTTTTACATTCTTTTTATTAAAATTTAAAAAAATATGTTAATAGTTAGTGGAAATATGAGAAGAAAAAGAATTACAGTGAAAATGGGACTGGAGAACGGGAAAAAAATTCATGAAAAAACTGATACATTAATTTCTTTCATTATTAACTAACTAATCATATAAATAAAAAGGTTATGCAGTATCCAATGCAATCTCATGCAGAGTAATCAACAGATCATGCACACGTTGGGGTGCATTTCCGTGGCTATTAATACCGTCGATCACTTTCAAGAATTTACATCCGATTTGTTCCGCTTTGGAGAGACCAGCACATTCTTCAATGTTAATATTTTTACGAGAAGCGTATAGATCTATACTATCCCCATAGCCCAAATTGACTACTTTCTGACCAATCTGTTTCCATGCTTGATGATCTTCTTGAGGTATTTGTTTGTGTTTAACAATATCGCTCATAAGTCCATCCATAATCCATGCAAAACTTAAATTGGTTCCTTCTTCATACGCGACATGATACCATGCACTCGCTTTACATAATTTCTCGGAGTGACTAAAAACAAACTTGAGATCATTTTAGAAAAATTGGTAAATGTTAGTTACGTTAAGCGATTGGATGCAAATCTAGTTCTCATCTCTCGGAGAAGTTCACGGAATTCCAACGATGCTGTTTCAGCTGAATCATTGTTTTGTCGTTCTTCTGCCGGACATGAATGACATCCAGTAATTAATTCGTACTCATTTTTTAAATTGTACGTCGATAAAATCAGATCGATTCGTTTGGAGTAAAATTCGTACTCCGTTTTTGCTTCTATAATATAGGCACCGCGACCTTCTATCAAAAGTACTGCATCGGTTGGGATCTGTTGTCCTTCCATTGTTTCTAATTTTTGTGAATGTTTTGTCCATACTTCTTTCACCTGTCGATACATATGACCAAGACTTTTATCTGATACAAATGACTCTTTATGTTTATTTTCCATGAAATCCGGATATTGACGGATTCGAATACTTTTCAGATTTTCTGGAAGTACTCCTGTTTTAGGAAAGTCAACTACTTGAGATATGTTCCCGGCCAGTTGAAGTGAATCTTGATGGTTTACACCGTGCAAAGTAGAACAAGCTAAGTGCAGATTTGATAAGGGACCCAACGCATCGCATGTCAGATATTTGTGGAGAAAGTCACTGATTACTGATATTGTAATCTCACCTTCGTGTTTTGATTTTTCAGCTGCATCGAAGTTCGCAGCTGCATGTTGTTGAGTAGCGCATTGTACCAGATCTTCGTTCCAACATACCCAATACTAAATAAATGAGAAATGAGATTCGTTCCTCCATCCAATGGAAAGAAACAACTTACTTCATCACCATCTAAATCACTACCACTAATTTCATTTGGATGTGGCCGTTCGCCTTCTGCAGGAAATACAATGCATTCCCATAGATGATGTAGAGCTGGACGATCAACCGCTTGCAATATTCGGATGTCGCCGGGAAAGTGAGCAGGGTTTTTGGTGACAAGAATCTGTCGGTCACGTATTATCTGACGTTGACCATCGAGATTACGAAGCTGGATGAAAACTTGACCGTACTTGAGAGAGTTCGTCTCATCAACAGTACCGAATAACATTCGCCCATCGGAAAGTGGTATTTGAGCATGCGATTTTTCTTTCAGTTTCCTCAACCTGATAAGAAGGAAAGTTTCGTCATAGAATATTTTATTTTTAGAGGAATTTTACCTTTCTTGTGCCAGCATTAATAATAACGATCGCGCAAATGGTTCTTTCGTTAGATTAAGACCAGATTTGCGCATCCTCTCCCAATCATACGACCGAACATTCTGTTCCAGGGTACGCTGTGCCGATTTATTTGCCAATAAAGACATCGATATATTCAATCGTGTCTTGTTCTGTAGTTTCAAGAATATTTCTTTTGGTACTCCCATATTTTCCAGTAAGACAATCACTTGTCGGTTCAGGAATGCCATACCTATCGAACAGTTAATCATAGATATGTTAGCTCCTGTCTTTTTTTTCCTACTAGAACTAGAATGTTTAACAACTTCTAATACATTATTAGTAGCTGTGAATTTTTCTTGGCTTGGCCGATATTGAACCAATATTCCTCTGTCAGCTAAATCAGGTGCCAGAACAAATATACCTTTAATACCATTCAAACGTGCTTGGATTACGCATGGCATATAATCATCTTCGATGATTTCTGGGTTGTAAGCTAAGAATACCTAACAAGAGAATGAATATATAGTCTACGAGTTCTTATTTTATGATTTATCAACAAACTTGTCTCAGCGCCTCTGGAGAAATTTTGCCAACCCCATCAGTGAACTTTCGATGTTTGCGGTCTGATATATCAGCGACACATTCTATCTGGCTGGGTAATAGCTGAAAATAAACATCTCTTGAGATTAAAAACGAAAACAAAGTATATCCAATGATTTACCGTGATGGTTTCGGTGGTGCCAGTTAACGACAAGGCCATTCTTGCAATATATGATCCAACACATTTTTCCTTTGAAAAGTCACCCATCCATTGCCGTATATTGTGCGCTTCGCAATCGTTGTAAGCAGCATGGAACCAGAAGCTACGGTCACGCAACTGACTGTTCGAACACAGTAAAAACTGGTATTGTCGATGACCGACCATGATCTTTGTTTCTCCAGTGATCAGATTTTTGATCCATTGTTCTTGTTCTTCCATGAAGTCTTTTTGCGGCTGGCCAAGGTCAACATCTCGTATGATGACTCGACAGAAGTGCTCGTCGGGGCCAAAATGTTGTTTTTGCCGCAACACTCGATTTCCGCGCATTGGTTTGATTGGTAACGGATAAACGGTATATGGTGTTAAGTATATCCGCGGAACGTACACATATTTATCCATGACAATACCCGGTACAACCGGAGGTATATTATCAAATTCTCGTCTGATATCAAAGAATCTATTACGTTTTGCTCGATGGTATATCGCTATTAGCTTTCGATAACATTGGTGATTTGGGTATTGTTCGTTGTTAGATATGTTTGATATTTGATGGATTTTGCTGAAAATATCGCATGTAATTTTTTGTTTTATCCGGTAGCCTAATGTTAATAACTTTTGAAATGTATAGCATGACCAAAAGTTAAATATCTCATAGTTGTACGCTGGTGCTTGGTTGGACATTTTCTTAATAACAACTGAACCCAAATGCATATCTAATTTGAGTACATGTATCAAAAATAACTTGCATTTCTCCAATGATTTTTTATTTGAAAAATGTAGGCACAAAGCAGAAGTATCAGCTAAGCAGGACTCGTCAATCTTCCCAAAGTCCAATCTTCGAGAATATCGTTGTTGGCAATTATGAAGTGCAGTATAACAGCGAGGTGTTGCAATGATAGGTAAAATTATACACATTTCGCCACTGTTGGTTACAACCACAAAATATTTATCCAGACATTCTGAAGCCAGCTTCATTTCTAATGTTTTATCGTTATTGTTGGCTGTAATTGATATAATTGCTTTCGTAATGTCTGCTTTCCATTGCAGTGAATGAATGTTTTGTATTCCTTTACTCCACATATAATTCATATTCGTCGCGAAGTACCCACATGAAAATTTATTTAATGCATAAGTGTCACTCTTTTTAAATTGTATATCCAGTGGCTCATCAATTGTTTTAACCCCACATTTAATCCATACAGGCGCATCTAAAATAATATCGTACATGAAACCAGACTGAAAATCGATTTATTTATATGCAGACACTTACTTTGCAATAAGGGTTCAAGATTCGCTTTGGAAAGCATTTCAGGAGAACCGTTGAACGAGCGCGATACCAAACCTGGTATCTCTTGCAAACATTGTTTACTAGGCACTTCCTTGATCGTAAAGCGTGTTTGCAGCGATCTTAACATAACTTCAGCTTCAGTTGCATCGTTTTGATGGTATGTGATTGTAATATGCGCCATATTTTGTTGGATTCTTGCTTGATTCAATAATATACAAGTATTCATCGCATATGTTATTGTGAATGTTAAATAGTGTTGAATAGCGAAAGTACAACGAAAAATTCTTGAATTTTTATACTCAGAGTTTATTTACTCAGTTTCTACGTGGCTTTACCTCAATGGAAAAGTGAACTGCGCATATGATGTGTTACTCATTTTAGTTTCACTGGGAAAAAACCCAGTTGGGATGGTCATAATAAAAAATTACGCAAGAATAGTTTCTTTTGCTCATTCTTCGCTTTTTTTTTCTCCAACTCAGTCGAATCTTTCCATCAGCTCTCTTCAGGAATCGCGATTACCATTCACGAAGGAAAAACCAGTGCAGTGTGGTAAAAACCGAGCTCTGAGACACATTAGTTCAGTTGGAACAAAAGATGGCGACAGTGATCTCCATTTATCTGCTGACATATTTTTGAAGATGTTACGTCTTCAAGTAAATACTAGTTTATTTCGGAAATAAACAAAAGACAACCAGTTACAGAAAAGACTCTGACTATATATATGATGATAAAGGAAATGTCCTGAGGATATCCCAGGTCGATCAATCCCATACTCGGATCCTTTCAGACCCCATGTCGGATCCGAAACATGAATTTTCCAGATTTTTTAAGGGTCATTATACAATATAGCTGGAAAGATCGCTCATAAAATCTGCAATAACCGACGGAATTTTTCCAGTCGGATGCCAATGCAATTCCGTTTCCAGGAATCCGATCGGATTTGTTGACCTGGGATTCCATAAGGACTATGACTACATGGAATATTCCAGTATAGGATATTTCCAAAAGAAAGCAAGATAACAATGACATCTATAGAAAGAAGATGTTCCAGTGACGCGTCACTATGTCACAGAAGATATCTCATGGATTAGCAATATATACAATTCAGTATCCATTTGTAAATACACAGCGGTTTCAGAAACAATTTTTTCGCTGTATAACTTTGGAGTGACCATTGAAGTCATGTATTTAACGCATATGCGCATATTCTCTTTCTCGTAGAGAAGAGTCCTAGAAACATAAATTGTTTGCTTGTGTGTCCGCAGGGCCAAAAAAACATCGAAAATCATTTTTTCGTCAAAAGAGACATCTAGGGATATTTCGTTGCGGGAACTTCGAATCTGATGTTTTTTTTTAAATTCTTTTTAAAAAATGTTTCTTGGAGAGAAGACCACCTTTTACGAAAAAAAGTATGTCTTTTAGGCAAAGGACCGTTTTTTACACACTTGACCGAAACATTTTTTGGGTTGGGGAGCAGGCATCTAGTATTACTTTTTGAATTTTGTTTCAAGAGAGGATTACTTCTTACGAAAAAAAACTGTTGTTTTTCTAAAATTTGACCATAGGGTTTTCGAGGTATGGAGATACGAATCCAACATTAGCATTTTAAAATTTGTTACAGAATAAAGTTATATACGCGATACGGCATTAGAAATGTAATATCTGAAAGCACTCCTTCTAGGAGAAAGAGCTGAGCGAGTCTGTTGACGAGCGTTACTTGTAAATAAGTAGTTTAAAAACGACCATGTTTATACGAAATTACTCAGAAGCCGAAACTCAAATAAATGTAAATTCGAGAGACCGATTTTATGAAGAAGCATTGTTTTCAAGTATACTCAAGCATCAGGTGAAACTCGATGACTAAACATCGAATCGAGGAATCATTTACAACAACAAGTACAAGTATCAGTTATTGCTACACCTTATCAAGCCAATTCATACTTCGTATTGCGATGAAATTACTAAAATAAGAACAATGCACGGGAACAGGTGAATTATGAGTGATAGATTTATAACAGCTAAATGTGATAGCGTACCAGAAATATACTTCCTGCGAATTTTAATTGAATCCGTCTGAGTGACTTCCCTTCAGACACAGAGAGAGAAAATTCATTTTCTCTAAATCTATCTAAAGAAATAATCGAATCATCGTATCCGAATATGAACGAGAGCTAAGAGACTATCATCACGATTATTGTGAATAAATAGTAGGAGTGCTGTACCACCAGTAAGACAAGACGTTTCTTTTTTGATTTATCATATACATCATTTGATAAAACAATATGAGGAAGAACTTTACTTTCTACTTCGTGTCACTTGAATCACCTCTTGCGTATCTTGACGAATGAATTTTGAAGCGTTATAGAACGTCTTTCAATCTTCTTTCCATGATAAAGTATGTGAAAGAGCGTTTCTGGTCGTTGAACGGTAGAAGTGACCAACAAAAATGGATTTTGTTTATCGCTCTGAATTAAGAGTGTGATTCAAGGATGATATTTGCTATACTTGTATAACATGCGTAAACGTTATTCTAAAAGTTATACCATACAAAGTTTGCGTGTAAAATAAAATTTTCTGATCGTTTTTGTATTTATATGATTATGTTTAAAGTGAATATACGCGCTCCTTTTCGAAGACTATTCAGAAGAAAATTTATCACAACCAATCTCACAGAAATTCTGTAGTCAATGACATTAAGTGTAAAGAAAATAGCATCCACATGTGTGTTTGTTTCTGTGAAAACAGAATGAAATGCGTCACAAAAATACTAATTCCCTTTTTTAAAAACAATCATTTCACCGAAAAAATTCTTTTCTTAAACGCTCGCCGATAAAATCTTTTGTTCGCTCGATTCTTAAGTAATGTGGATATGAAAAAGGAAACAAGACGCGTGCCATTCAGCGACAACGTCTTATTCAAAGCAGAAATAGACAAGCAAGTGAAAAAAGGAAAAAAAATATCAACTATAAGCGCATTTTTCTAGTTTTTACTTTTTTCCTCTAATAACGTAGCTTGAGCATTGGCAATGACAAGCAAAATTAGTATTAAATGTGGTGGAGTTCGTAAGAAAGATGAACCTCCAACAATTTTATTCTATGTACCAGAAATGCGTCAATTAGCTGAAGAAATCCGCCTTTGTAATATTACAAATTCCATTGAATTAGGTGATATTCAATGGAATGAATTCGCTGATAAATGGCCTAACGTATTTATTCGTAATTCCGAGCAAATTCGCAATAGTCATGTGCTTTTTCTAGCATCACTTCATAATCCCATGACAATTTTCGCGCAAATCTCTGTTCTTTATCATCTACCGAAATATCTCTGTCGATCATTGAAAGTTCTTTTACCTTACTTTCCAACTGGTACCATGGAACGTATCCAAATTCAAGGAGAAATCGCAACGGCATATTCGTTAGCACAAATGCTCTCGTCAATTCCACTTACACGTACTGGACCATCGGAAGTTGTGATTTTCGATATTCATGCACTACAAAATCAATTCTATTTCTCATCGAATATCATCGTTCGACTCGAATCTACTGTTGGTTTATTATTAAATGAGTTGCAAAAGGAAGAAAATCAAGGAGAAAACTATGCCATTGCCTTTCCAGATGATGGCGCACATAAACGCTTTTCACATATATTCGATAATACAACTTATCCGATTGTGATTTGCAGTAAAATCCGACAAGAAAATGATAAACGCATTACGACAGTCAAAGATGGCCAGGCTAAAGGTTATCATTGTATGATTGTTGATGATCTCGTTCAATCAGGGAATACTTTAATCGAATGTGCACAAGCTTTACTACAGCACGGTGCGACGCATGTCTCAGCATTCGTTGGACATGGGATCTTTCCCAATGAAAGTTGGAAGAAATTTCTTCATTCCAATAATCCAACAGTTCGTTTTCATACATTTTATGTTACAAATACATATCCTAATACGAAAATATTGGTTAATCAATCTCCTTTCAAAGTACTTTCAATTGCACAAATTTTGTGTAATATATGTTTTAATTAGCATTTAATAAATATTTCAAGTGTATTTCTAAGCGAAAAGTATTTATTCAAAGGAAGCTTTCCTTTTTAATATTAATCGATATTAATAACATTGTCAACAGAATGTCTTTTCATGTTAATATTTTATAAATACGTTGTAATGGTTGTACAGGCGTTAAACTCACGACCAATGACGAGTTAAGGTCATCTAAAAATGATGGATAACGTTTCGATGCATCGTGTGGTGCATACAAAATAGCCCATGGTTCATTTTCTTGAACAGAATCACCAACATGCTTCAACAAACGAATACCCACAGAAAAATCTAGTTTATCAGTTGATTTCAAACGTCCACCACCTAGTTGAAATAGACGTTGGAGATTATATTTCGTTGATATGACACTAAAACGTACCTAATCGTTGAACAATAGTGCCAAGATTGAATGAAGCAATTGATTGAACATATCCTTTTTGCGTGGAAATTGCTTGATGAGTGACATCACTAAGTTTTAGAATTGATTGAACAGCTTTCTCGTCGTTGCTGATTAATTGTGCGGCAATGCTTGGCGACACACCTTGACCGATGATCATATCATGAAATTTTTGCAAAGCCGAGCCATTTTTAAATGTATCACGGATCATTTCACGACCTTGTTCAATTGTTTGGGCTTTGTTTGTAAGTAAAAGAAGTCGACCACCTAAATACATCTACTTGATAAGAGTTTCGTCAGCAAAGGTAACGCACTTTACCTTGTTCACAGATTAAGTCTTCAAGATCAGCTGAATGACCTTGCTTATATTTCATAAGATCGAGCGATTCTTGAATTTCCAATGCATTCCCTATACAATATCCAATCGGATTGTTCATCTCAGTTATATAACAACATGTTTTCATTCCGAGTAATTCTGATACTTTGAATAGCCAATTAGCTAACACTTCGGCATTCTCAGGTGTTTTCATAAATGCGGACGAACCATATTTTATATCCAAAACAAGCCCATCAAGATCTTCAATAGCCTTCTTTGAGAGAATCGACGAAACAATCAATGCATTACTTGGTACAGTTGCTGTCACATCTCTTATAGAATATAAATATCGATCAGCAGGATTAAGTTTAACCGATTGAGAAAAGATTCCACAGCCAACATTGGATATTAACTGAACAATTTGTTCATCAGTTAATTGTGTTTGATAACCCGGTATAGATTCAAGTTTGTCCAACGTACCCCCGGTGATACCTAAACCTCGTCCCGACATCATCGGAACTTTCATTTGACAGGCAGCTAATGCTGGTGCTAATGGAATACTTATTTTATCACCGATACCACCTGTTGAATGTTTATCAACAACTATACCGCGATAGTTGGGCCAACTTAAACGTTCACCACTGTCACGCATGGACATGGTCATCGAACAAATTTCTCGCTCCGTCATACCTAGTAGTAAGGAAGTTACAAAGTCTAACTTGAATCATATATTTACCTTGAATGTAGATCGCCATAAGCATTGCACCGACATGGCAATCTTGAACATCGCCATTGGATAAACCGGCGATGAATTGTTGTATTTCATTGGGACTTAACTCGAGTCCATCGCGTTTCTTGGCGATTAGATCAGGAATGGATAGTGCATGTTCAGGCGTCGACATTCTAATGTGTTTTTATGCTTTTGTATTTGCGACTTTCACTTTCTGTCTTCCTTTGATAAAGAAAAGGTCCAAACGAAGCACGCTACGCATTAAATAACGTACACCGTCGAATGAAATAGTAGATAAGAACATATACACATGTCAAATATTGTTTTTATCTTAAAAAAAGGATGAGATAGTTTCTTCAGCATACTTGAGTATATCGACACACAATTCAATATTTGAATTAGATTTATTTATTGACATTCAACGAAGGAAATGATCCCATCTTTGATATTTAATTAACTTCAGATAGATCGTATCGATCAAAAGAATAGTTATCATCGAATCATGCGCTCTCTTTTTCGTTTAAGAAAAAAGATTCGTTTCAAAATGTACAAATAACAAAAAAAGTCTACGACACAAAACCATTACATTTAAAAAAAATGTCTTGCGAAGCAGACAGACGCCATATTTCTCTGGGTACATATCTGATACGAGAAGGTGAATTAATATTGATAAAAGACAAGAAAATAAGTTTTATTACAGAATCGACACCAAAAGGGTAATAATCGTACACGACACAACGAAGAGACAAAATAAAAATAAATAAAATCACTGTGTTTTGCTTTTTAACGTCGTGCACCATTCAGACTCCTACCTGAATATACATCATTGAAACCAAGACGAGATACAGATGTATTTGATGACGCATATTTACTATACATATCATCGTCATCGTCATTACGGTTATCTGGAATCTTCTTTCTACGAAAAATATTTTCTCATGAATGAATCAGTTATTGCTTTCGCTAACTTACTTCTTCTTCTTCCGTTTTTCCACAGGAATATTACTGAAATATGAATGTCATTCGAAATAGAATTCATTGCGAAAGAAAAATGTTTACTTCGCATCTAATTCGATATTTTCTTCGCCTTTCATCGCATTTTCAATTGCTGCTTGAATTGCCGGCGCAACAACTGGACCTTCATAATCTCGAGTGGTTCGCATTGGATGGTCAAGTTGAAGTAACATAATATTCTCGCTCTACTCACAAAAATGTTCAAATCTTTTATCAAAATTAATTCGAATTCATACTCTGAAATGTGCGATTTCAGGAATTGATTCAACGTGAGAGTTTGTAGTAAATGGACGACGAGTGTGTCGAGCAGAGACTGGTCGATGAACCATTTGATCTCTGAAAGATGAAAACAAACGATTTGTTTTTTCTTTTCGTTCTGAGATTGTTTACGTTTCTTTCGATAATTCTTTCAATGTCCATTGATTGTGTTGATCATCAAATTGAATTCTTTTATATAGACGTTCACGTTCATCTTTTGGAATAAAATTTTCGATAATCAATTGAAGAAGTTTTGTTTGCTTTTGAATCTCTCGCTGTTCAGCTTCAAGCTCTTCACGCGCAGATTGCTGATGTTCGACTATTTCCGTTCTTTTCGCCTCAATTTTCTTCAAATGTTTCGATAGTTTATCGCGCTTCGCTCGTTTATCTTCGACTTCCTCTTTTATATTCGTATACTTCTGATTGATCGTTTGTCGTTCTTCTTCACCTTCGGCTAATCGTTGTTGAACTTCACGATGACGACGTTCAGCTTCAGCAATCAAACGTCTACAATCGAATCTGAGTTCAATTGCCTGAATCAATAAACAAAACAAAAAACAAACCGTTTCTGTCGAAGAGTTTCTTCTTGTTCACTCGTGTGCGTCACAATGTCTTTGCCACCAGTGATTAATTTCGACTCCATCTGTTGAATTTTGTGCTGCATCTCACGCCGTGCCTCTTGTTCACGTTCAATCGCTTGCTTTTGTTGTTCTAATTCTTGTAACATTTGTTCCCGTTCAGTTTCTAATTCAGATATCAATAGTATTTCGGTGATTTCAGAAACAAAGATACAAACCATTGATGTTTCGTTTGTGAAGGATCGATCGTTTTTCTTCATTGAGTTTGTCTTGCTGCTCTTTTAAGTATAATTCTTCGTCGTTTGGATCACCTTCCTCGTTCTCATTGTTTTCACCCTCATCTTGATTGCCACGACGACGAGATTTGCGTCTGCCCTTGCCCTTTCCTTCCAAATGTTCTTTCAAACGAGCTATCTCTTCTTGAAATTTACGCAAGAGAGCATCCTTTGGATCTTCATTAATACGTGGTTGATTCTTGATATTCTTAGCACGATTTGCGTAACTAAACATTTCAAGAAAATCATCTTAGTACTTTTTTTTTCTAGCTTCTCATCATCTAAAACTAGTAGCGTTAGTCTTGTTTTCAAAAGCATTAGCATCAGTTCAAATACTTATACAAATTGTCAAAAAGCGACGAATAATCTGTTCATACAATAATCGTAAATAAGGAAATAGACGTCTACGTGTGCAAATCAATTCTTACCGAAGTGTTGTTAATGATTCATCATAATTGTAATCAGCAGGTCCGAGTGTTGCAATCATGATTGTTTTAGAATTACCACCAAGTGAATCTACAAGGTATGATTTTCTTTCGAAATGTATGTATTATAAACAAAATATTGGTGTACTTTGTAACAAACGAGTTAATTTCGAATCGCGATACGGTACATGTGAATTACCATCGACAAGAGCAGAAATCACATTTCCAAGCACGGAAAGTGAGAGATTTATATTAGTTGCTTCTTTAAAACGATCACCCTAGATTCATAGAAAACAAATCTATTGATGTTAGTGACGCCGATGATCGGTTGCTTACGGTTGATCCTGTTTTTGCTTGGCGTTCACTTCCAGCTAAATCGACGAGATTAAGTTTTCCAACTCGAATATGCGCCTGTCCATCAGCACCCGTCTATTAATAATAAAAACAACCCAACTAGAATTCATACTCTTTTCTAGGAACTGTACCTCACTACTTTCGACTGTTATCATAAAAATAGCATGCGATCGTGAACTATGTTCATTCATGTTTGTTGCTCTAATATCAAAATGGTCAAGTTTCGTTGTAAGTATAAATATTGTTTTATATTACCCCGTCGAACGGTTTAGATTGCCAGTGTTCATCACATGTTCGATCTCTTGCATGTTTTTCGTAATGAATGAACTCAGATCATGAACATGGACACCTTCTTTGGGATGTTCTTGTAATTGCAAACGTTTGTTCTGATCTTTTGATAGAAGATCACGAATACTTTCCTTCAAAAGAAAAATATCTTCGTTTCTCGTTTGGAAAAGAATTAATCGAATAGAATATTTACATTATAAATTTCTAGATACGAAGCTCGAACAAGAAATTGACGAGAGGTCGTATGTGCAATTGCATCAAATATGTGTGCAAACGACGATGGAATAATTCCACGTAGTTCCACTTGCGAACGAACGCCTATTGTATATTAATTATGGAATAGCAAATCTTTCTAAGTTATACTATTTCATCTACCTTCCATTGTAAACGTTTTACCAGTACCGGTTTGACCATAAGCAAATATGGTTCCATTAAAACCTTCGATAACTGAATCCACCAGTGGTCGTGCTGTCTGTTCATAAACATCTGTTTGTTTAGAACTAAAATCATATTAGAGAGAGAGAAATACTTAGCCGGTGTGAAAATTTGATTACTAACTTCCAGTCGTAAACCGCATCAAAGAAGAAAGTATGCCCATCATCGCCTGTACTTCGCTGAGAAATTTCACTAGTCGGTTTTCGAATAGATATTTGTCGACGTTGACCATCGATATTAACGACTCTAATATGAGAAGATACTGAATAGTCAAAGTTATTCGAGAAAAGCAACCTTTCACAACCAGATTCCTGTTCTTTTTCACTCATCGGACGGCATCGAACAACGACTCGAACGGATTCATCTTTCCCTTTACTTGCTGCCGTTGTTGGACGTGGCTAAACACAAATATTCGTAAATCCATCGAAAAGATTCGAAAGAAAAGTTTAGTTGTATACCATTTGTCAATTTTGAAGAAAATAAACTTGTTTTTCTGCGTGCTTTTCCGATATAAATCAACTTATGCTTCACTACGCTGTCATATATCCTCTGCTAGTAACTATGAACTTTTCATTGGTTCAATTTCTAGCGAATGGTCATCAGACATCATATAAGTAAGTAGTTAGTTAGTTTGCTTTTTGTTCATTTCATATATGCAAGATTTTACTGAGAGAAAAATTCGAACTTTCAGCTTTTAGTTTTTCATCGTTCACGGTTATAATTAAAATAAAATTACAAGTTTCTGTTCGTATTGCCTTCAATGTTGTTCAGATGTTTGGAAATCGGTTATTATCGTATTATTTGACGAAAAAATTTCGTCGTCCACCAACTGAATATGTTCTCGATCCGCCATTTCACTTAAACACGTACCCAAACCAGTTCTCAACGGTTGAACATGATCGAAAAAGAATGCATTAATCTGTGCGCATAAGACAAACAGTAAACCAAAAAAGTAAAATAAAAGTAAAGTGATAATTATAAATCCTAATTGACCAATATAATCAGCCATGAATTCATGAACATATAAGGGAAAAAATAACATAATAAATTGTGAACCAACCGCCGCGATCAATGAACCACACCATCTAAACAGAATGTAGTGAACAGTTAGGGAAATGAACGAACAACTTACGTATGCCGCCAACTCATTTCACGTTTAGGTAAAATCAGATAGATTAATTGGAAAAATATAAATGAAAGCACTCCGCTTGAAAGTGTCGTTAAGAATTGATAGAATGATTCATGTTTTTCTAAAATCGCAGGTACTGACGAGAATATAACAATGAACGGCATGATAATCACAAATGCTAAAATCATTTTAATCGCGAGAATATTTTGGTTGAGTATCGATCGTTCACGTATACGGTAAATAATGGTTAAAACATCATCGAAGCCAATGAATAATCTCGAACCGGTAAATAACGATATGACAAAACTGATGATGAAAACCAGTCCAGCTTGTGTCAAGAGTGAATGAAGTAACGCATCGATTATGTCAGCAAGACCTTGTTCAGGGAACGCTTTTACTAGACGATCTCGAATTTGCTGTTGAAACTTCGGGTCATTACCAAAGATTAAACTAACTACAGCAAGCATACTTAAAATCAACGGTAATAAAGATATTAGTAAATAATAAGCAATGAGTGCTGCTAACGAAAATGACCAGTCATTGATAACTTTCCATGTGAATAAAGCTAATTTTCCATTGATACGATCGCAATTCGTCTTCGTATTACTGAGTGACATACTTTGTGTTTCTGTTTCGTTTGAATGAAACCTTATGGTGTTATTATATCCGATGCCCTATTGATTCTCCATTAACACAGAACGACAAAAGAAAGTTTCTCTTCATAGACGCCCACACGTTATACAAGCTGACTCGTCGATGGTATTGCAAGCGAGAAATTGTATTAGACATGCATTTTGGTTTTCACCTAAACATCAAATTCAATAGAATGAGGAAATATTTGAATGATTTTTATGTTGACAAATAAATTTCGTTTTCATTTCTTTAACATTGCATTTGTTGATTGTAATAACAACGAAAATAACCTGTTTCATAGAGAATATCAGACATATTCGATTGAAACAGATGGTTTTTATTCGCAATCATACTAGGATTTAATATGGGTGTTTTTTCTCTAATCGTTTGTCTTCTATCATACGAAAGAAAAACAACAAAAAATTTAGTATCTATTATGATATTGTGAACAATCTATTCATGCTTATGTTTTCACATATAAGTGAGAAACGAAAAACGTTTATTCATCCTCACAATAGCTTTTTGTCCTTTGTCTAATCCGATTAAAGTTATCTTAAATGATCTCTATTTTCATTAATCAGCAGACATTAACATCATCATGCAATGATAAGTTCGATTCTCTCCCTGTTCGAAATGTCTATGGGATGGATTAGCATATTGTAACATATCAAATTTATCTTCACTGATAAAATCTTAATATGTCCTATTAAAGAAAAACTCACTCGTATCTTTATTTACACTTTTTCAATCTCTAATCAGGATATATCATCAAATCGATTCATCACCATTTAATAACATTTCAATTCGAATGAAATTCAGTTGTAATGTTTTTATTTACACATCAACGGATGGTTCTATGAAAATAACGTCAATAAAAGCGAAGAATGTTTTTAATTCCTCGTAAATGATGAAGATTAGTGAAGAAAAACAAGCTTTTTTCTATTGACGACTTCCGTTTACTTTCGGCTAGTACTATCGCAATGTTAACCTTGCAATGCAGGACAATATGGTTCTTTCATCTTGGTTCATTTGGATTAAGGTCACATTTGCTCAGAGAGAATTTTTTTACCTGACAAGGCAATACAACTCAATCGAAGCAACAATTAGGTCGAGTTCATTCTTTTTCTCTCCTTTTTTTTGCAGTCTTCAACTTCAACAATCGAAGAACAGCTGGAGTGGACTGATGAATGATCATTGTTGTGTTCATTTGCTTTCTCTCATTCTTTCGCGCATTTTTTTCTTCTACTCTAATTAGATCTGATTATTTTATCGCTCATTCATACTTTCCTACTCGAAAATTTACACGTGTGTGCACATATCGTTAAGTATAGAGTTCAATTAAAATCGAGATGTTCATTTCGACACAAAAAAAAAATGCTTGAGTGTGAAAGATGATATGATAACAAGGACAGGTTCAATAGACAAGTAGACAACGTCTGTTTTACTCCTATTTCAGACAACGATAAGTACGAGTGAACAAACGAAAAAATTTACATGTCAAAATAAAAAAACAACATCTTCAATAGATGAAAGTTTGTACATGAAAGACTTCTCTTTCTTTCTTTTCTTAAATTTAATTGAGTCGTTGGATAGATAAATGTCTCTGGTAATCATTTCTTTACATTATCGTTGAGAACGAGGACGACTAACATGTACATGCCAAGTTGGAGAGAAAAAGAGATTATGGGATGTTAACATATCTAATTTCTTCGTTCATCATCAACGTATGCACGAGTCTCCTCCTTACGAAATTAAAATGTCAACTCTACATACTTCCTCCTCCTCTTGTTCTTCATCATCTTTGTTTGATAAGAGGTCAGTCATTTCGTCGTTTTACGTTTTTATTTCTCCGACTCACTTTCGTTCGTTTACTTCGCTCTTATTCTGTTTGATGTTTTTTGTTGTTTTTCGATTTGACCTGTCCGCCCTTTGGTCGACCATATGTGTATGCAATGGATATAGAAGATGATGACTCGATGATTGTTCACATGCGTTGTCATTACTGACGAAAGACAGAACATTAAAAAAAGCAGCGTTAATTGGCGATGACAAAATGTACTCGACAAATTTCCAAGGTAAAATTACAAATGAAATGAGATTAAAGAATTTCTTTTAATTGACGACGATTCTTTTTTCAGTCATTAGTTTTATTCTTCTCTTCGGACAACTTGCAACGAAAAGTTTAACATTCAGTTATCGAACATGTTTACCAAATATTGATTTAATTCACATTGAACATATTCATCCTTTGAACAGTCAACATTTTCAATTCATCACCAAAGATTTCCATTTGAACATTCTCTATACCTATCAAAACCATAGACAACGATTTCAATTTGGCAATTTAAATCCTTCCATATCGAATCTATCGAATTTTGATTATCAATTTCAATCTGCAATTAACTACTACCATCAAATCGACACATGGAATTATGTGAACATCACATTCGACGATCGTTTATCACGTGTTTTCATCTCATTTAATAATGACGAAACTCGTTTGATACCGTTAATTGATTATCCAATCGATTTTCAAAATAAGACATTCCCAGAAAGCAAATTAAGTGTACAAATATCAGTTCCTGAACATGATCAAAATGTCACGTGTTTATTGCCATATGATGGTTTCGAAATCAATAGTAACAGTGTTTGCTCGACAGATATCAAAACATGTGGTTTGTAGTCAATTGGATATGTTCGTTTTGTATGAGAAATTGATTTTAGAATATCGAATATGTAAATCATCAAATAGTGCTGAACAGTATTGTCCACTTTTTAAAATGTTTGATTGCCAGCCTTTTACCGGTACGTCAAATCGAACAGTCGACTGCACGAATCGATTTGTTGCTTTAATTTCAGATTTGGAATGTGGTTTGAAGACAATACCTGTTCTTTGTTCGTTCAATCACTGCGAAAATCATGGCAGTTGTTATGTGAATATCTTACGAAATCTATCGCAATGCGTTTGCCCATCTGGTAAAACTTTCTTTCTCTCTCTCTGTTTGCCTTTGCACTATGTGTATTTTTATAAGGTTTCGCTGGTGATCGATGTGAATATTCAATTGATGAATGTCAATCAAATCCTTGTCCCGTTCAAAGTAAATGTATTGATTTACCAAATGGCTACACATGTGTTTGTGGTATGAAATGTACAAATGAATTGTTCGGTATAACAATTGTGTTTTCTTCGTTAGAACCAGGATGGACTGGCGTCGATTGTTCAGAAGATCTCGATGAGTGCCGAACAACTAAACCGTGTAAAGCAGCACGGCGATGTACAAACCTTCGCGGATCATACAAATGCGATTGTCTAGAAGGTTTTACTGGACAAAATTGTGAAATGGTATGAAAGTAATCGAGCGAACATTTGCCAATTTCTTGTTTTCGTTATTTTATGCGTTGAGAAATTTATCATCCTGTCATTGTGTGTCATACTAGTACTTTAATCATAGCAATTATTCACTATAGCGTATCTAATTAGTGAGACAAAATGAGATTGAATTTGTTTCTCTTTAATCTTCATCGCATAGTGACGGACATAGTGTATCGATTTCAAAATATGCGAAGAAATTGAGCCGCGTTTGTCATCCGAGGGACATTTGTTTTCTGCCTGTCGAAAAGTATTAAGATGATTTGTAGATTGACGAATTTCTTGGTTTAGACACTTGATCCATGCATCTCTCAGCCATGTTTGAATAATGCAACAAAATGTCATCCTATTCTCGATCGTGACAATGTGTTTTATCATTGTACATGTCAATCAGGTTTCACAGGTGCACGCTGTGAAACGAATATCAATGATTGCGAAGGAATTATTTGTCCGAGAAATAATACTCAATGTATTGATGGAATCAATTCATTCCATTGCGAATGTAAAACAAATTTTAAACGAAGTATTTCAATAATGATGCATCTCGCAGAAATTCACAATTTGTTCTTCTCTTTTACAGACTGGGATGGGGAATGTGTCGAACAGAATCCGTGTGATTCGTCGCCATGTCATCCGAATGCTACATGTTACAATTTAAATGGTGGACAGTATCGTTGTATGTGTCCACCAACGTATACAGGCATTCGCTGCGATGAAGATATCGACGAATGTGCAGTTTTTCCATTCATTTGTCGTAACGGTGGCTCGTAAGTCAAAAGTTCTTTACCTCTCTTGCAATCAATCGATTCTATTCTCTATAAAAGATGTGTGAATGAAATTGGCTCATACCGATGCTATTGTTCCACCGGTTGGTTTGGCCCAACATGTGCTAAAGCCATTGACTATTGTCTTTCGCAGCCATGCAATCGAAATGGAACTTGTCTTAACAAAGTAATTGACTTTCATCGACTGAAAGAAATCAAATAGCAGAAACGAATTAACTTTAGATCAATGGTTTTGAATGTCGTTGTTTACCACCTTACACAGGCGATGTTTGTCAGTATGATATCAACGAATGTCTAATAGAGCCTTGTGCTAACAATGGTACATGCTATAATTATGTTGGTGGATTTCATTGTCAGTGTCCTGCTGGTTATTTTGGTGAGAGACAATGCTTGACAATTAGTTTCTATTGTGATTGTGAACCTAGGTTTTCATTGTGAATATCCGCCATCAGAGTGTCAACGTTTACAACAAGCGAGTTTAGCGACTAATTGTAATGATCCGCATCTATGCGTTGTGAATGACACTGAAAAGCTAAGACAAATTAATCGATTAGCAACGAGTACTTGCAGGACAGAACGTGATCGAGTGTTGGATAATTATTTCGCATGTTTGAATGAACATAAATTTAGTCATTGTAAATGCCCTTCAGGTAAAGCAGCAAACTTTTGCAAACAGATTCTTTCAAATCTGTATTTTTTTCTTCTTGTGTAGACATTTTTCCATGTGCTGATAATTACACGGAAACAATCGGAAGGTCTTTACTTTCAAAATCGTCTTGTCCATGTCGAAACGGTGGCACTTGCTATTGGCTCAATTCCACTGAATACC